AAATGGGGCGTTCAAGGCTAACGAAGAATACATCAATGCCAGTCACGTTGTGGAAGAAAGCCAAGGAAAAGAGCCTATTATGCTAGAAAAAGGCAACCATCAATTTGACTTTGAGTACAGACTACCTGACAATCTGCCTTCTTCTTTTATTGGTAAGTTTGGGAGTGTTACGTATGTGTTCAAGGCTAGTGCTTATGGTGATCGCCCTGGTGACACCTCACTCATCAGTGAACCCTTTCTCATCCTCCGCAGTCTGCCCCTCCCCGAGCGATTCAGACATGGCGCTTCCGCAAAATTGGAAAAACGCATATGGAAAAAGCTGTCAAGTGGGAAAGTCAAGCTCTCAGCCAGTATAAACCGGGTAGGAGGAACCCAGGGGGAGGACCTGTTCATAAACGCTGAGGTAGCTAACAGATCTCCTGCCAGGATTACTGCGATGCAGACCTCAATTATCATGAATACCCTCTACCACGCTCAAAACCGTGCTATACCCTTCCGTCAAATTGTCAATAAGCGACGGGACGAGTATGAACTATTACGTGGTGACGGACGTCGATGGCAAAATGTGCGTCTGTCTATCCCTCCCTATATCCCTGAAACGAGACTCGAGTATTGTGATATCATTGAAGTCTCCTATACTCTACAGTTCAGGATAGAAATCGCAGGTGGGAAAGAAATGAAAATAGAATTTCCATTTATGGTCGGATCCATGCAAGAAGGACATGAAATTGTGTCACGTAATAAAAACAGCATCATGAACCGTCAGTGGACGTTGAGCTCGAAGGAGCTCCAAATGGGCCCAGCAGGTGACCCGGCCCCGGATTACGACCATGATGGGGACTGGTATCACGAGAATGTGCCAGAACTTCGCCCAGAAGATTCTAAGGTTACAAACCCATTGTTTCAGGATCATGACAAAAAGATTACACATAAAAACATTGAAAACTTCCAACCTACACTGGATGAGCTGCCAGAGGTTATTGAAAACACAAAACTATGATACTGGGATTCTATCTAATGTTCCACAATGGATTACAGATAGTAGTGAAAAGGGTTGCATCTTTTCATTACAATGAACTGTGCAAAGGTATATAATACAGTATACAAACTTTTTTTTCAGGAAGATGACCATTTGTGTTAAGACTATGAAAACTCAAGTTTTTGATTGGAAAAGCATGTTTATTTGAGAATGTGTGACTGGTTTAGATTTAGATAGAAAAACAAAGAGTATATAATTACAAAGCTATGTTGTGATATATACATTTCAAGGAGAAGACTTTTAGCATTATAGTCAATGATAAATTAAAAGTTGAACAAATATCTCTGTGCAGTTGTTTCTAGACTATTCCCCAGTCCTGACCCAGGATAGGGCTGCCAATGTGAGCAGCCTGGCTGTATTTACAATAAAATAAAATGTGACGTTCCTGCAATATGGAACAATATAAAGTAGACTTGACTACAACACTGGGGGCAGTTATGGGCGTGGGAAACAAGAGTTCTTATTGCCAATAAAAGTCATATAAGTGCTAATATCTCATAGTTGATAGTGTAGATGTTAAAATGATTTTTGCTGAATTTCTTATATAAATTGTCATGAATTGCCAAGGTAGAGCTTAAAAGCTTAGATAACTTATTTTTGTGTGATAGATTTTACTATGAATACATTAAAATATGCTGTAACTAAAAACAATAGTTTTCACTATTAATAAATATTGATATATCAATCACTCATGTGCTTAAAGTAGAACCACCCTCATGTGTAAATAAATTCGGTTTTTGGAAGACGTCCTAATGGATCAAATATCACTAAAATGCCTTTTCTGCCTTCAATGCTTTAAGTTTACATGTATATATATTTAATGAAGGATTTATTTTAGTAACGGAGGTATGAGGCATGTTTTACTCCGCTCAAGGTAATTTTTTCTTAATGTTGGGAGCCCAAGGGTCCATTGCTCTAGATCTAAACAAGTAGTCATATGTCTTATGGTATTACGTTTTTGCTCATTAGATAATGGTTTAAAGATTTATTTATTTTTTTAAATGGATGTTTCCACTTAAACTAATGATAATCTAAATTAATCTGCAGTACCTTTAATTCACATACAAATACCTATAGAAACATCATAACCCTCAAAAAGCCAAATTTCACCTTAAAGTTTGCTTCTTTACTTAGGGTCTAACATTATGCGGGACAGGAGGAAAATTAACCATCAAAATGAAACAGATCCCAATGCAATCATAGCCCTATAAATGCAATTTCTTTTTGCAGTTTTTGTATATATATATTTATACATGTGTTTATTCCAATGTGGTTCTGTTCAATGTATCATATCTACAAATGTCTATCAGTACAAATTGTGTCTACATTTTAACTCATTCACCCCTGAAATTGCTTAATGAATTATTCCAACCGTGTGATTTCAGGGGTGAATGAGTTAAGTAACATCACTATATGTATATCCCAGGATAATTACACTGTCTTTATTATTCTCACGGGACACGATGCAGCATTTTGTTTTTGTCAATTACATGAAATGTACATAATATATAGTTGTTATATCATTAAAATATTTCCAGTCACATTACCATGATTTGTGTAATTAACTACAGTAGAACAGGCATTTTTTGTCTCCATCTATCAACTTAAGAGTGCATGCTACCTTACTGAAATAGATCTCCTACAAAAAAAAAAGATTTCTAAAGTAAGAAATAGATGAAACATCTTTTATAAAACTTAATGAAATATAATGTCACTCCTATCAAAAAGATTTTTTAAGTAAGAAATGGATCAAACATCTGTTATAAACAGCAATCTGATTTTAACTTTACACTTTATGATTTTTTAAGGGAAATAACGCTAACACAAATCATTGATATAATGTGTGTGGCAGCATGTCCCCTTTACTACACATCAGACATCCAGCTATATACATTACAATGCTAATGGGTAAAGAAAACTTCACCTGTAAATTGGTACATGTTAGGTAGGTAAAAGTGGGTGTTGGCCAGTTAATTGTTGTTTACAAATTAAACTTGAGGCATGACTCATAATGAAAAAAGTTCCTTATCATAGGACGATCAAGGGTAGTAGAACTAGTATAGTCCTCCAGATAGTATAATATATACTAGTTAATAAAATCTCAATGATAGTAGACCATGAAGTACT